GGGCTGGGGATTTAGTTCAGTGGTTTTGCTGTTTGCTGCATAAGTGCAAGGACCAGAGTTCAATCCCTGGTACCAAAAAAAAGAAATCTTCTACTCATATGAGCAAATTTATTTTGTTCTGCAAGTTGATGCTGTGATAGGCTTTTCTTGACCAGCAACAGAACCGGCTCTGTTTTGTTTGTTTTGCTTTTGCTTTTTGTGATGCTGGACTTGTGCATGTTTGGCAAGTGCTCTACCACTGAGCTACACCTCCAGCCCCATTTATGGCTCTAGCTGTCTTATGTAGAATGAGAATTATTCTGGAAGGCTGTTGATGAAAAGCTGGTGGACTCACTTCTTCAGAAGGCTTTGTAGAGGAAACAAAGTTTGGGATTTCTAGTTGTAATTGTGATGAAATGTGACTTCTGGGTGACCATGTTCTCCAAAGGCAGAACGCCTAGAGACAAAGCCTGATCTGGCTTCTTCAGGAGGAAGCAGCTACCCCATAATGGGAATTCTGTGGATGGGTTATGTGGCTCTTATAGGATGGAGACTGATGCTGTATAGGCTGTTCTTCCAGTAAAGGAACAAGGGTAAGACATGAAATCTGCCCACCTCAGATGCTGTGCAAGACTCCAAAGGTTGGTCACCCAGTTCAGGTCCTGCATCTTCCCCTTATTGGGTGGTTCATCTCTTTCCTCTATCTTGGTTTACTCATCTCTAAAACGAGAATGGAAACAGTCTGTATTTTAGGATTGTTATGATGATTAAACATATGGGAAAGTGTCTAGCCTACAATAAGTGTTGTAAGCAAATGCTATTGTGTAAGTTTCTCCACTCCACATTCCCCATACTCACCTTTAATCCCATTTCTGTTGTTATCTTGCCAGCCACATTTCTGCCCAGCTCTTTTGTTCCTTAGGAGCATGGCTCTAAGGCTGACAAAGTGATACCCTAAATACTGCCTTATAGGTTGGCATCTGCACAAGAGCCAAGTAGAGGGGAGAATGCAGGGTGTCCAGGTCCCAGTTCTTGCTTGCTCTTGGGTAGTCAGGCTCACTTTTCATTTTTCTCATGTTTTCCCTTTTCATCTCAGACTTGAATGGGTCAATACTTGGCATGCCCTTTAACTTTCAGTGAGGATATTAACCAAGGTGAACTTGTTCCCTAAAACACTTCTTACCGTTCCTCCCATCTCAGCTTTTAACTGAAATGAAGAGGTACTTCTGATTCCATTACTGAAGTAATGAAAATCATTTACCTTCCTTGTGGTTGACTCACTCATTCATATCAGTCTCATATCCATCTCACTTGTGACACCCAATACCATTTCTACTCTCAATTTCAGTCATCTTTGCCCTCTCTTCTCTGATTTGTTGGAAGACAAGTAATTACATAGCTTTAGGGATTTGATAGGAATGTGTTCCTGGGAAGATGTGAAAGTTTCCTCCCAAGTCATTTCCTCTTTTCATCCTCATGTTCTGAATAGAATGTGTTACCAACTGAATTGCACTGATCTGTCTCATTGGTTGGACTGAGCTGTGATTCAAAGTTCCATCAATTTCAAGGGCAAATAGAGCTTTGTGAACTGCTGATGCAAGAACCAAGTTCTGAAGAGATGAGAAACTGCAAAATATTTTAAGGTTCCAGTGTAATACTCACAAGTATATATGCATGTACATTTATTTTTTGAGTACAGAAACTTTTGTTTTGTTTTGTTTTTTGGTACCGGGGATCGAACTCAGGTCCTTGCCCTTGCACAGCAGGCGGTGAAACCACTGAGCTACATCCATGGCCCAGAAACTTTTAACAGTGCAATGATTCATTTCAATTGTGTTTTATTTTCTTTTATGGTTACTTGCCTTTCATTAATCTGACTTCAGTAGAAATACCATGTTTGTATATGAGACTCTTCCTTTCTTCTCTGAATCTCTTTTGTTGTGCTGTTATTATCCTGGGGATTGCAGAAACTGTGATTGTAAAGCAGTAAATCATTCCCCAAAGCACAAAAACTATAAAATATCTTTGATTAGATTCTCTCTCCCTCTCTTGTTCTCCCCATCTTCTGGCCACCTTGCTACTTTCTCAACAGACACCTACTGTGCTGGTATTTTGCATTCCCTTCCAGATATATTTTATGTAGATATTAAATATATTGTTTCCCCTTTTAAATAAATCACAGCATCCTTTATATTCCTTGCCTTTTCTTGCTCTCCAATACATCTTGGAGACCTTTAACTATAAGTATATAAAAACATTTGTCATTCTTTTTATAGCTATAGAATATTCCAACATTTGAATATATACCCTACTTTATTTAAGTACTTTCCCATAGATGGAGATATTGGCTTCCTGATAGATTTTGAGATGAGGTTTCTGAGTAAGAATGAACAAGTAGAATCTATAGCAATATGATGCAGCTTGGACAAAGACAAAGATTGAGTATACTATAGTGTTGTTGTATAAGGATTTTTCTATAAAATGAAAAAAAAAGATTGCATTGGTCTTTAGTCAGGTATCAAGCTTTGCATATATACTTTTTCATAGTCCTAGAAGAACTACCAAAATTCAAGGAACACCATTGTATGCAGTTTTAGGAATTATTTTTAAGGTATTGGGTCCTCAATCTTAGAAAATAATAAATTTTCTTTAAAAGATTATTCTGAAGCTAGCCAGATATATCTAGATTCTTAAGGGTGATAAAAGGTGATAAAGAATTTGTACCCATCATCTAGAATGGGATTTGAAAAGTTTAGGGTTGAGATAACTTTCTTGAATGATAAATAACCCATTTTTTTCATCCGTCCTTATTCAGTAAATGCCTTTGGAAGCTAGATTTGGGGTGGGAGGAACGCTGAACTGTAACTTTCTTCTCCATTTTTATTTTTTGGTACCAGGGATTGAACTCAGTACCTTGTCCTTGCCAAGCAGGTGCTGTGCCACTGAGCTACATCCCTGGCTGGACTATAACTTTCTTAAGGAAAGGTGGCTGACACCTCTTAGCTCATAAACTTTGTTTAATTGAATGGAAACATGATCAAAGAATTTTAAAGTGTGGTAAAGACAGCCATAGTGACATATTAATGTATACATTATACAGAAGTATATATATTAAAGCATTAATATGATGAGATGTTTGAACTAGCAGAACATTGGAAGATGAAAGTCATAATTTAGTAAGGAGCATTAAGCTATAAAGTTTAAGCTTCTTTTTGAAGAACTGTTTTTAATGACCTTGAAAATCTTATTTGTAGCTAAACATAAATCTGGAAGTACAAATGTTTTTGGTGGGTGAATTTAACCTGCTTGCAAAATTGTTAAGTAGCTAAGGAACAGAGGCTATTGTTATGAGTCTAAAGAGAAGAAAATGACCTTGTGTAAGGGGAAGTATTCCTGTGGCCCTTTTTGTTGGACCCTCGGAGAATCATGAGTGCAGTAGAATGACAAAAGTCACTTGAAGCTACTAGAGTGTCTTTACTTTTTTCTGTTTTAAACATATTGTTTGTTGTTTATTTGATGATTCCTTTGGCAATTAGGTTAAATATTAATTGAAATATACAATATTAGCCAGACATGGTTACCATTCATTCAACTTTTTTGAAAAGTAGGCTCTAGAAGCATTCTTTAATTCCTTTAACTTACACAGCTTTCAAATCATAGAATTAAACATATGGAAAGTTAGGATTGATAACCTTGACAGTTCATTTCTTTCAGAACCAATGAAAAATTCAAAGTGACTAATGATGATGATATGTATGTAAAAATAGCTGCTGTCAGAGTGTTCAAAGCATTTTATATTCACTAGTCTACAGTATTGTCTTAACACTAAATTACTAATGTATTCAGTTGTCAGGATAACTGCTTCAGGATGAGAAAAAGTTGGGAGACATGGACCTAACATTGCAGTTAGATCCATTTTGTTTTTGGTTGTTGATCTTTAGCTTACTAAAGTTAGGTTTTTTGGAGGAGGATGAGAATCTGATTGAACATTCATCAGCTGTCTTATGATGACATGGCTGTCTGATGGGATTTACTGTGAAATTTTCATATTGGTTCTCAGTGAGGAAACTAAAGGACACTAGATTTAGTATCAGTGCCCAAGAGTCACTATTAATAGAGCTCTTACCTTTAGATTCTTAGTTTAAGGGTTCTTCCCTCAAAGGGTTTTTTCTTAAGAACTATTGATTTAGTATAGACTCTTCTTGGAATTAGTTGGGATAGGTTCCAAATTTGTTCTTTCTATAACCAGTGCTCCTTGAAACTTTTGCTGTTTGTTGTGTGTAGATTTCCAGCCATTTTCAGAGTTGCTCAGCTGTGATGCTAGTTTATCATGAAGCCTGGTTGCAATTATGGAACAGGATGTGATAGGGTGGGCAGATCCCACTAAAAAGACATTACTACAGAAGCAACTTTTATGTGACAGAATCAGAGCAGGCCACAAACAGTTCAGAATGAGCAACTCCATCAAGCTGATAAGTTACCAGCTTCCCTGGAGAAATTGCTCATCTCTATTCTCCTCTTATTGGTGGTACCATGTTTAGTAGCTGCTTTTAGCTATAAAATTTGACTTAAAGTTAAAGGCTACTCTTTGCTTGGAGTTGGGTGGAGCGTGTCATGGTGCCTAACACACAAACCCATGGCCCTCAGTCCAAGCACCACCACATTCTTTAGTTTCACAGGTCCTCTTAGGAAAGACAGACACGTGGTCCATCTTCCAGCATCTCTGTCTGGCTGCAATCTAAACTTGCCTAGAGTCCTTCCTCCTTCCCCATTTTCAAGTGGAAGTATCTCTCTTTTTCTAAACTCTCACTTTATTTAAAACTTCTTATATTCTTAATGTTTTATAATTCATGTATTTGTATTTGTCAGAAGACTATAGATTGCCTAGTAATGTCTTCCATATTATAGCTGTCCTTTTTTAACATTTAAAAGAAATATTTGTCAGTCTTAGCAATGCTTTATTATATTTTTTTCCTCTGTTTCTTTGTTGGTAACTGTTGTCTTGGTTTCTTTTAATGCAGGTCTTCAGACTCCTGTTCCAGAGGTCATTGTTGATGTGGAATCCATGGACATCTTCCCAGTGGGCTGGTGTGAAGCAAATTCTTACCCCTTGACTACACCACACAAAACAGTCTGTAAGTATTGCCAGTGAAATAGTGGATAACATCTGTGATCTTGGTAAATAAACAGACAGTTTTATTTTAAAATAATAAAAATGTAAAGAATAAATGTTTTAGATGTCCCAAAGAGCATCAATATTTTTGATGTTTCAATTGTCCTTTAATAATCTGCATGAGATGAACATTTGGATGAATTTCACAGGTTGACAAAGTAAGTCACAATAAGGAGGCAACTGAAGGTCACAGAGAAATGCAGAGGAAAAAAAGATCAGAAATTTCCCCTCCCATTTTTGCATGTACCCATTATTTTGCTTAGAAAAATTTTAATATTATCATTTCTTAAAAAGAACTAACTTTTGTCATGCATTTTTCTCTAAGAGAATCATACTTGGTTCCAATAACTTACATATTTACAAATATAGTACTAAAATATTCATAGCACTATGTAATCAGTGGAATTTCAACTGTACTTTAAAAAGTATATTCACTCATGTATTTTTGATCACAGAAATGAAATAAAACCAATATTAGTACTTTAACAATCCAGTAGTACACGCACCCACACTCATGCACATTTAAACACATGCAACATATGTTGTTGTAGGTCATTGTCATCAAATGGTATTACTTACAAATCATCAGGCCTAAGAAATCTTTGTATTTATTATTCCACACTAATGTGTAGCAAAGGTGTCATTTAAAACTTTACGAGTTCTTAAAGATAATGAGTTTCAAATTTGTAGTGAAGAGATTATATTCCTAATAATTTTCTTTATGGAATTTCTATACCAGCTTTACTTCTCTGTAGCACCCCATTCTGTGGTAGGCTTCTGTGCATTCTCAAGACACTGCTGGAAATAAAGTTCCATCACAACATTGTCATCACATTCCCTGATGGCTGCAGATTTTGAAGGGTACCTCTACTCGTATTCACTGAGGGCAGTCTGGGTCATTACCCTTATACTTGACTATTGGCTACACTGGCTGAGCAGGTTAAGAAATTACTCATTTAAATGGGGACAGAGGAGGATGTCCTCAAGATTAGAATAATTACTCTACATTCACATTTTTAGAAATACGTTAAAGTGAGGAGAAGATGTGACACCAACTGGGTCAGACTCCTTGATACTATCTTCCCTGGGAGCTGTTACAGGACTGGGACTCAGTTCCCTTTTTCCTAGTCCCTCAGATGGGACCTAATGTCCTATATCCATTCCATTCCTCCTTCACATAAATATGGGAGGTTGCATGTTTTCTGTTCTTCTGGAGCAAAGCCACATGTTGCAGAGGTGAACATGGTCCTGTTTCCTCGGCTGCACTTTGCTTCCGGGCCTGTTGTGCCTGGCTCCTTGCCAAGGTACCATACAGTCCGGCCTCTCCACCCTGAGCACTGGACTGAGTTAGACAAGTTCTTCTTCCCTCCTTTTCCACCCTGGAGATCATAAAAGTTTACAGGTTTCATAATAACAACTGGAATTGAACACCAAATAAAGTCAGGAACGGGTAGAATTTTATTGAGTATTTCTCTTATTCATTCTTGCACACTCCTTTCTTGCCCATACATTTTGCTTTAAGCAGACAAACGCTAATTCTCTCCTGCCAGATGCTAACAGCTTTAGAAGTTTTGGTGGAATTAATTTATGTGCTTACATTGGAAGAAACTAGATTATATGAGCCAACATGAATTGATTTCAAAAGCTCTGGACTCTTTGTTAAGGTGATCATAATCAATTAGAACTATAAACTGGAAATTTTCTTATCCAAAAAAAAAATCATTATTTGCTGGTTTTTGTTAATGTTTGGCCAGCCCTATCTGACAGCTTCCAGTTCTCCTTCCAGTAATTCAGTGTTTTAGTTTAAATGAATCCTTGAGGCTAATATGGGGATGTATGATTACGGTAGCATTATTGGCCTTATCACAATTTCTGTGGAGAAAATTATTCTATACTGTCATGCTTACAACTTATGTTAATGTGTATTTACGTGAGGTACAATATATGTACTCCTTTTTTTCTTATTAAAAGCAATTTTAAAATAAAATAGACACTATAGTGATAAGATTAAATGTGCTAAGTTTTATTAAGTTCTTATGTCTGATGAATCTTTATCTGCTTTCTGTTAGAAGAAATTGATGTGTAATTATAGTTTGACTGAAATAACTTTTCAGTATTTAAATTGTTAGTTTAAAATTGGCATTTTAAAAAATACTAAGCTGGTTTTTAAATGCATTTACCAGATGGTGGTATGTAACTATAATCCCAGCACCCTGGGAGGCAGAGATGGAGGATCACAAGTTTGAGCCCAGCCTGGGCAGCTTAGTGACTTAGAGAGGCCGTGTCTCTAGATCAAAAAATAAAAATGTCTGGGAATATAGCTCAGTACAGATGTCCTGGGTTCCATCCCCACTACCACCACCAACCAAAAAAAAAAGCACATTTGCCTACTAACAGTATGTTTTCTCCCCCTTTTCGCCTATTTTACAGCACAAAAGAAGAGAAAGATTGCAGTTGTACAGCCAGAAAAACAGTATGTTAATTTTTTTTCCCAAATCGCATGATAAACTGTAAAATGTCTTTCTAGTGTTTTGTCAGAGTTAGCTAACAAATACCACACTAGTACAGGTGACAGAAAAGTGACACTACTGTTATTTAGTGCACCTACTATGTGCAAAAATCCTGTGCCTGCTCCCTAAAGAACCCACAGTCCAGATGGTCATTTCTCACTTTCTATTTCATCTTAGACTTGCAGAATACCCAGCTCACTCTGCTGGAGACAGTGCTCTGTGGAGTGGCTCTTGGTCCCCCCAGTGGCCCTGTGTGAAAGTGTAGTTGAGGTGCCTTGGCTCTGCTCCGGATGCTTAATGCTTCTTTCCTACCCCTGAGCTATAGCCTCACCTGGAAGCAAAGACTTGAGCCTCATCTCAACTCTGCCACTTCCCGAGGGTGAATTTGAGCAAGTTGCTTGAGTTTTCTGCATCTCTATGTCCTGATTTGTAAAATAACTATTTATCAAGGATTTATGGAGATTAAATTAGATTCCATGTTTTAAAAAAACTCATGAGCTTTAAATTGTTGAATAAATATAGGTTGCCCCCCATTTCAGTAGGAATTTAATGAGAAGAGGATTTAGGGAAAAGTGTGCTACTGCAGCCAGTCTGTTTTTGAAAAGTTGTAACTGCTGGTGTAACTTTTTATGTAGTGCAAAGTATTTAAAATACACTGAAATGAGCACTCATACCAAGTTATTGTGTTTTCCTAATAAAAATATATGGATAGAAAGTTAAATAACAATATTTTTCATAACTCTAATTACAATGAATTTAACAATAACCACACTGTTATTTGAATGAGAATAACAGTTTTGTGAATATTTTTTGTGTACTTATTTCTAAATGCAGTGTAGCAGGTTCATAGCCTGACTCCACTTTCTCTACACCAAGTAGGGAGTGTATAACATGAATAACAGACCAGCGGATGGATCCAGATTCGCAGTGCATGGGTTAATGATTCTAACTCTTTTGCCTGTATCAGTCACATAGAGAGCATATGAAGATAGATATGCTGGGCCCCATCCCCAGTACTTCTGCTTCAGGATGTCTGGGGTGTGGCCTGAGAACCTGCATTCCCAGCAAGTTCCTGATTGATACCAGTGCTGTGCCTATGGGGACCATATTTTTGAGAATCACTACTGTGGATGAGCTTTCTAAATCTCTTGTAAGGACATACTTTAAACATAGACAGCTTTTTACCTGTGTCCTTTCTGTGCAGCTACCTGGGGACCCCTATGAAATCCAACTCACCTTTTTCACCTAAGGCTACATTAAAAAAAATTGTTCAGCAGCTTTTTAAACTGACCTGTAACAGAGCTCTGTTAGAGTAAGTGTACTTCACATTTTAAGAATCATCAGTTAACAGGTTTTTTTCTAAGGTCTTTCTAGTGTGGTCACAATGTAACAGGCACAGAGGTCAGAATTCCAGGGTTAGTGAAAAGTAGTTTTCAGTTAGACATTGCCACGGAGAAGTCTGACATTAATTAAATGTAAGTTAATGTTGCTTTATGTTTAAAATGGAACTGATGACATTATCACAATTCTACAGCAGCAGGCTAAGCTGAGCAGTAACCTATTACAAACTCACTAAGCAGTAGCACACATCCGTAATTCTAGCTACTTGGGAGGCTGACTCAGAGGATTGCAAATTCAAGCCAACCTAGGCAACTAATGGGACGCTGTCTCAAAAAATAAAAAGGGCTGGGGATGTATCTCAGTGGTCAAGCACCCCTGGGTTCCATTCCCAGTTCTGCAGTGGAGAAAAACCTCATTGATCTCCAGTGCCCTCTTGACACTTGTGCCATAGGCTTTTTAAGGTTCTCAGAAGGATCATCTAAGAACAACTTTCTGAAAGGGTCCTTGTATCTAATCTTGCCATGCTGCTTCCATACCCACATCCTGTCTCACATTGCTCTTGATTTCTGGAGCAGTCACTTTGAGAAGTACACTCATTTCTTCTCAGGTTTGTGATCCACAATGGCTCCTTTTCTTTATCCACAGATTGCCATCCACAGTGCCTGTAGAGAAAATACCTCATGACCTTTGCTTATTCCCCCACCTGGACATGACAGGTAAGTGGGCTCCATGGAGATCTCTCTGTCTCTTTGCAATCTGTAGCTGTGAATGAAGACTTGCATAGATTTGGGGGTCACTAGGAATATATCTCAACTGCGAGCCCATTCTGTTTTTCTCTGTTACTACTCATTAGCAGACATCTATGTGTTTTTTGTTTGTTTGTCTGTTTTTAATTTTTGAGTTGAAGTCTCTACCCTTTTACTGGTTCTTGGACAGTAGCTCTAGACAGGTCTCCTAGACTGCAGGAAAAGGATCCACTTGCTACTTAGAAATTTCACAGATTAGCACTGTGTACCAATCATGATGCCAGACAGGAAAGACTTGAACATATCATCATCATCAAGCCCTCTTTTTTTTTTTTTAACATTTTATCTCAGTTTTACTTCCATTTTTACCTTAGTGATTATTACTTACATCCTCACTGGCTTTTGAATCATCCCTTAAAACTATGAGTTTGAATAGCTAGTTGTAAATAATACTTTTTTGAAGATACAAAGTCTTATTTCTTATAATAAACTCTGAAAATGCAGTTGTGATCTGCCCTTTGACCACCAAATCTGACACTATACATGCTTATACATTAAAATTCTAAGTCAAAATGAAACCTGTTCTAAATTCCAGAATTAAAAGCTATGTGCCATGGACGAATCCTATTATTTGAAGTTATCCTTGTAGTGAAGAGAGCAATTTTATGAGTAGACTTAACTAAAATTGTTTTTTTTCTAAAGGTCTTGGCAGAGTAATCCTACCAAAAAAATGTATAAGTACATGCAGCTGTGAACTTAATTATTTTACCTGTTATATAGAATTCAAACTTCAGAATGGTTTCATAAAAACCATGTCAGCTATCCTTTCAGTCTATCATGGGTATTGTACTCTCTTTTTCTTACATGGACAAGGATGACATTTCTGCCTCATACCTGTTGGTTCTTAGTTGATATCTTTGTGAAAATAGGTCTCCATAGACTGTTAAATTACCATCTCAAATCAGTGACAGTATTTATGCAGAAATGCCACTGTTAGTGTAGCTTAGCATGGGGAAGGAGATGGGTAGGTTAGTGGAGTGGGAGGAGTACCTGAGCCAAAAATGAACCTTCACTCTGTGTTTATAAACTTTAATAATTATTCCACACTTTATCAATGGCAACTTGAGATAGAGTATGATCAACAACATGCCATATAAACTGATTTGAAGGAATAATAAGGATAATGCAGATTTAAATAATGATGAGAGACATTTCACCTCGGTTGGATGGCAATGTGGAGAAGTCTGATGGTGTATGCTGTTGGCTTGGACATGAGACATCAGGGACTCTGAGACAATGCTGATAGGGCTGTAAGTAGGGATTCTCACTGTAGAGGACAGCAGGACAACATGGCTCAAGCTCTGCAGACCTGTTGGTCTCCTGCTTTGTCCTTATAAGAATCTCCATCCAGATGGAGAAATAGATTTTCACAGCTGTATTTGTTCAAATGCTGCTGGCAGTTCTGAAGAAGTAGCAATAACTGTACATCTAAAAGAGAATAAATGACTAAACTGCAGTATAGTAATACAGTAAAGTAATACACAGAAGGGAAGATGAATAAATATTTTAGCATTTGTTGGCAAATATTTCATATTTTTCACCTTAAGAAAACTTAAGCAAACAAACAAAATGTTGTAGAAAACCATTTATAGAATATTTTTAAATATCCAAAATAAAATATGTATCACTAGTGTGCACACATAACATATGTGTGCAGTAAAGTTTAGGAGCTTGGGTGAGAATGATAAGCACCAGACTGAGGTGGTGGTTGCTTCCAGAGGGAGGATAGGGACCCCTGGAGTGGGGCAGAACACACAGCTTTGTGATTGATATGTTTGTCTTTGAGCTGTGTAGTGACAGCTGGGCAGCTGTTGTCATAGTCTTTGTATTTTCATGTATTTCAAATACTGAATAGTCAGCACAAAAGTTTGTTTATATGTTGAAAAAATAATGAGAATTTCTAAGATACTGTAATGGGTTTAAAGTGTCCTGATGTTAGGACACAATGTACCTGTCTCCAAAGAGGAGAATCATGTTTTTGTCTACTGCAGTAGACAAATACATCTAGAACTCAAGTGGGCCTCCCAATTCAAGTTCTGACAACATTGGCCCTCACTGTGGTTGTGAGTTTTGAGAGTCCCATATTTTTTGTGACTCCAGACTCTCCATCAGTTCAGATGCTGGACAGCTCCTTGGTGAGGTTTGATGACTGAGTGGGTCAAGCCTGTGTCTTTTGGGGCCCCAAAGTTCCACAGCTGTGACCCTTCCTTGTCTCCCTGCAGGAACTGGCAATGGGAAGTACTGTTGCCCGCAGCTGTTCATCAACCACCGGTGTTTCTCAGGCCCATACCTGAACAAGGGCCGGATCGCAGAGCTACCTCAGTCGGTGGGGCCTGGCAAGTGTGTGCTGGTTCTTAAGGAGGTAAAGTGTGCATCCAATCACAGTTGGCTTGTTTTCATGGGATCTGCATGCTATGGGCAGATACTAGATGTTTGAATCCATTCAGTTCTCATTTACCAAGTACCTCCTTTTTCTCATCCCAGGGCTGAAAGCTGGAGACACAAAGATGGAAGTGTGATGTTTCTATCCATGAAAAATTCAATCTAGTGGACATACTTTCCTCCCATGAGTTAGTTAGGGGGAAATGTCACAGTAGACTTGAATGAATTGCTTTGGGAAGACAGGGGATCAATTAATTGTGTGTGGAATATGGGCTTCGAGCTGAAGGGTCAAGGTCTGTCATAGAGGAAGCTGGTATGGAAAGGCAAAAAGAACCTCATTTATCTGGGAGCATCTAACACCCAGAATGTGGCACAGACAGTTCCAGCCCTGGGTGAGCTTCTACTCAAGTGAGAAAGATGAGCAGGCAAGTAGAATGTGATTGAGAGCATCCTAGGTGCCAGAACTGGCTGGTGTAGATGCTGTGAGGTAACAAAAGTGTTGTACACCATCTGAGGAAATGAAACAGGTACCTGCTCCAGATGCTGGACCACATGGACAAGGCAGAAGCATCCAAATTCTGGGGATGAAGGGAAGGAAAAGTAGGAAGGATACTTAAAGCATCTGAGCTGGGAGAACCACAGACACTGGAAGGAGCCAGACCTACCTGCCTTGAGTCTCATGCAGGCCTGCCTGTTGGACTTGGTCCTTTACCAACATTCTCACTTAGCAGCAGATTGGAGCTCCTTTCTTTCTAAATAGCTCACCTTAATATAACTTGGCTTTATGTCTGGAAACCAGACAGTATGGATTGTATGCATCCTGAGTGGTGAATAGATTCCATAGATGACAGATTTATAGCTAAAGAAAAATGGCAATTGTGGGCAAGGGCAGGATGCTCAGAACTGCTCTAGATATGGTTAAGCAGTAGGCTTGCTGGTTAACCCTGACTGAATAAATTGCCACTGAACATAGATCCCTGCATAGATAGGAAACTTGATCCAAAAAGAAATCAAGCCAGGATTAGGTGTAAGAATTTCTATGTCAATATGACATAAAACCCTATGTGAGAATTGCCTTTCTTCAGTCTGCTTCAGCTCTCTGCCTGTGAATGGACCTCTGCTACATCGATGTTGTCTCCCTGTGCTGGGATCTGGTTTTGAGTGATACATTAGGAACACAAAAACTGACAAAAATACAGTGAGTGGATGGATTACTTTGAAGCTGCTCTGATTCACATGCCAGGTTGCAGTTGTTAATAGGAGCTCTGCCACTATCTGCTAGCTATGTTAATAAACACATGACCGTGGCTCCTACCTCTCTTTAGGGACTGGCTATTTTACTTTACTAAACGATTTTTTTCTAAGTCAAAAGTAGTTAGTTATTGCTGATCAGTTCTCTGATAGATGCCAGAAACCAAATTTAAAAACCATGCCAGAACAGTTTTCTGATAACAAAAGTAGTTTTTTGCTGATGGCTGGAAAATACATGCAGAAAGGAAGAAGAAAGGGGTGGGGAGCAAATGCTTCGGTTCTGTGAGTGCAAAAAAAAAAAAAAATGTAAGTTCCACCAAGCCAATATTTATGCTAATGCTCTTCCTTCAGCACCAGAGCCTCTGCATGGTTCAAATTTCATCTTACTTAAAGAGAAGGAGGTAATTGAAGCAAAGGCAGAGCATGTTGCTTTTCCAGGCCATATTAGAAATTTGAACACTTTTCGTATATTCAGAAAATGTGAAATGAAAGTTGTTTTTCCTGTGTCCAGTCTGCTAGAAATATATAAGGTCTGTGAATGTAGATGCAGAGCTGGTCTTAGGAAATGTCAAATTCAGGCTGAGCAGTGGTGTCCAGAACACTGTCCAAAAGGGTCATATACTAGAGAGAAGGAAGTTTCTAGTAGAAGTGATTGCTAGTGCATGTTGGTAGTGGCTTTCTGGAGTCTAAACTTGATTGGAGTTGGGAGGGTCCCACACAGCTGTCTGTGTCTGGCCTGGATTCCAGAAAGGGTACATCAAGGTAAGGGAGATGACTTGGAAGAAGATAGCAGAGTCAATAGATGGTTCATTCAGCCCCCAGCATCCTCAAAATTGAACTCAGAATGGACCAGACCTTGGTCTTGGGTGATAGGTCAAGCCAGCCAGTGATCCTTCCTATGTTGGGGTATTTGACAGAGGCGTGAAGTGTTGGACTTCACCTGTTAGGTACAGACAATAATATGATATTTACCATAAGTCAAGTCTGCATGCTCAGTAGGTTCATTGGCAATTGAGACCATCCATTTTCATCCCCAACCCTTCTACTATCATGCTACCACCAGTGTGCCAGGGTCCCCAAAAGATAGATCCATGTAGTGTCATACGATTGGGTGCATCATGTGACAGAGTTTTGTTGGCCCATTATATTCCTAGTGCATTGCACCAAGATGCTGAAGAGATTGTGCTTATTGATTTATATCCTATTTCCTAAATCACCAGGTCTACCTATCATATTTACTTTATGTGCAGGATATCGGAAAAGGGATGAATGAGCCACCAGGGGCACAAGAGACAAGAAAAGAGGGAAATGTTTATGATTTACTTATTCATATCAGTGTGTCCTGAGGTGAATATTTCAGCTTCTGATACAGACACATGACGAAAATGAGAGAAGACCAGCCATGTGCTGCTGGTGAAAAAGCCTCTGAAAACCCATACTGCAGGACAGTTATTGGAGCCTCTAACATAAAGAGACTCAACAGGCTCTGGAGACAGCATCCCAGGAGAAAATCCCAGCATCACTTACAGAGACTTAGGCAGCATCTGTGGTGTTTCTCAGAAGTTGTTTGGTTTAAAATATCTGCCAGTATGTAACCACTTTTTGGTGAAAAAGAGAAGCATATATTTCAAGTGGGCACTGTTTGAGGGTCCCTTTTCTTCTGGTCCACATCACCACTAGCTGTGACAGTCTCCATAATGCATTAGCTACACAGCAGGCACAGCTTGTCCTTGTTGGCAGCCTAGGTTGCAGAGATCAAGAGAGGAACCTTTTAGAAGGAAAGCTGACCAGTTGTATACTTTCTGTTGAAAGATGAAGATCTAAACCTTGTTTTCCGCTCCCCCTTTTCTTCTTTCTGGTAAATAAAAGGCTTAGAAGAAAAGCATATGGAGTCTGGACATGCAGGAAGCTTTTGGAAGTGATAAATGATGAACTTCCATGAGCTCATCTCTGCCTTCTAGTGTGACATCCTACCCCAGTAGGGGAGATGGCCAAAAAAGCTGATGAGACTTGCAGCTTTGCAAACCATTGAGAGACTGTGTGTGATGGGTAGTGAGATAGAAGTGGGACTGGATAGCACTGCTGGCTTTGCCAAGGCAGGGACCTTGTTTTCAATGGGAAAGGACAGATAGGCAACTAGCTCACATGGTCCCACTTTACCTGCTCACTTATAATCTATCTACCTATCTATCTGTCTATCTCTATCTGCCTGTCTGTCCTCTGTCATCTATCTGTATCATTATCATCTCTCTTATCTATCCACCCATCCATCATCTATCTCTATCATTATTACCTCTTTATTGTTGTCATCAACAATAAATGATGACAATCCATCGTGTCTATCATTAATCTCCATCTGTCATCTGTGTACTAATGTAGCTGTTGAGTACATCTTAGAAGCACTTTGGTATTCTCCTCAACAGCCTGATTATGGAATGTAGAGGTGCAGAGGTCCAGTTAAGCCTTCCTATAAGTTTAAGAAAATAGGTTATGATTACTTTGCAAAAAATGACTGTGAAAATGATTACTAGCTGTGAGCACTGGAGTGAGATGCCAGCAACTGGGATAGCTACTTGGGTGGCCACCATCTTTGTCTCTTTCCTTCCTTGGTTTTCTTAGCTCTGTAGAAATTGTAGAAGGAAGTGATACGGAGTCTGCAGCCGCCACTCCTGTTATGCGTTTATTTCTTCTCTCTGCAACCTCTCTAGAGTTTCAGACCCTAAGATGTTAAGTCATTCAACACACAGTAGATAAGTACTGATATCCTGCCCCATCCTACATAGCTTCTAGCTCTGGGAACACAGGGGTGAATGAAACATAGTTCATTCATTCGCTTCAGGTTCTAAGCATTCAATAAACTAGGCCCTGGGCTAGACCCAGGGGTCTCAGTGAGCAAGAGATGTGGTCCTCGCCTCCCTGGGTTGACAGTCCTCTCTGCAGGGAGGAGGGGGCTTAGCCCATTAGGGCTGCCTCATTCTAACAAGCCCACCCAAGAACAAATACACAAGAGGAGATCTGTTTGTGGTTATATTACTTCAATACCTGAGCCAGAGCTCTGCATCATAAAGGTCAGGAGAGTAGCTGCAGGCTTTTTTTAAACTCTAGAGACATTTGGTGCTTTGACAACAAGTCAGAGGGTAGAAGAAGTTGGCTCCTAGGGAAGCACCCCTTCCAGGACCTCCTGCCTCATTCCCAGTCTCCGTTCTTATTTGAGCTGCCTCCTGCTCGGGCCTAGGCCCAGCCCTTCCCACTGGCTGATGGGAGTTGAGGAAATTGGCCAGCCCCTAACTGTCTCTCCTAACTGTCTCTGACTTTGCAATTCTCACAGAAAACGTGAGAGACATAGGCCAGTCAGCTGGAGCATAAGGGTTGAGATACTGTACACAATCCTTCTGAAGCAGAAAGCCAGCTTACCAATGCACTGACCCCGGGGGCTCTGGGTCTTGTGCTTACCTTGTTCACTGGCAAATGAAATGGGTTTGAGCAGAGGCGCTGAAGAAATCCTGGGGTTCCACAAGGCTAGAGCCGCATTTGTTCTCTGAGCCTCAGAGGCCCTGCTCAAGGGAACTCTGTGGCCCAGCCTTCAGTCAGATGCCCGAGCTCAGATAGTAATGCGACACAACCCCCTTTCCCCTTATCCCCATGAGGTAAAGTGACTACTATGCCTGGTCACTTCCAGTTCTGGAACTTTCAGGTGGGATCTAGCAGTTTGGAATCTGGCTTCCAAAG